TAGTCAATAAAGCGATACCAGTTTTGAATTTTACATTGCTTCTTCTACTATTACAACAAATGTGTCCACCATATGGATTATGGATTCATTGTAAATCAAGTATCTATATGATTTTTTATATATTGCATACACAATTAAACTGCGGTATTGTACACTGTGGTAACAATGTGTTTGTAGCAGTACGATACAAAGCACAAGCAAGAAATACTTAACTAATAGTTAAACAATCCCTCGCCGGACACCATCCCGGTATTTCTGAGTCTAGGTTCCGGGGCTAGAATTTATGGAAATACTTCCATTTTGTCCTGCATTTGTTAGAAAACAATAAATACTTAAAAACTTAAACTGAGGTATTGTGCATTGAGGTAATAACATGTTTGTAGTAACATGTTTGTTTGTATCTTGTTTGTACTTTGTATTAGTGGAGCGGCTAAGGAGAAAAATCGTGCACTTTTGGAAGAAAGCATGAAACTTCCCACAGTGATACTATGATACCTAAGGATCATTAAAAAAAATAGACCCCAAAAAATAATCCGCTTAGTGGCCGCCATCTTGAAATTTAAAATGGCCACCAAAATATTGGATTTTTATCAATAATGTTTTTGATCTACTTGTTTATTATATTATGCAAAAACGCTTCTAGACAGTCGAATACAAAATGTTTTATTCGTGTATACATATACCACAGGTGAGCAAAGTGCGGCCCGCGAAAATAAATTAAAAACCCTATGTGTGCGGCCTGCCAAGCAACATTGGCTAGAAAACATCTTATTGTTTACGGGCAGACGCCGATTATGTAAAAAAAGTAACATCAAACTGAAATAAATTGGTGTAAAAGCAGTGCTTTGAAGATTTTGGAAACTCAATGGAAACATCAAAGTTTGGGTGCACCTGCATGCAGTTTGAGTGCATTTAGCACTGTTTCTGTCATTATTTGATTAGTTATACCACAATGCTACGCAGCAACATTGATTCTATGTTACTTCATTATAATACAGGTATGACTTCTAGAATATTCTTTGGCAAACAGTATATCAACAAACAGTATAAGGAATTTTTTTTTTTATTTGACAGGATATTTCCGATACGATCTCACATCACTCGCATTTATTCGAGCTCTGTTTTCACCATTATTTAATTATATAAACAGAGTGCTACACACAAAAATTAATTATATACGTACATACATACACATATATATTATATATTATATAATTATGCATATTTGAAAATGATATCTAGTTTATTCGATATTATTGCCTTCATACCATTACTTGAAGGTGATATTTAATTTATGTCTACATAATTTCATTTATGCTAAAGTTATCTTTATACTTTTCTTAATTTTTCTTGATTTTTCTTTTATTTCTTTTCACTTTCTCCATTATATTCATTTTCTATCCTTTTTATTTCTTTTCCTTTCCAGCTTTTCTTTAATTTTCTGTTTCTTTTCCTTTCAATATTTACATATGTGTTTATATACCATTTGAAATCTCATCTCAAAGGCATGAGGTCTATTCGATATTAGTGTCTTCACACCATTAATTTTAATATTTGATTTATGTTTACATAATTCCATTTATGCTAAAACTAGCTTTAATATAGATGATTTAATATCTGCATCTATCTCTCTCCCCAGGGAAGATTTGAAGACTGAGTAGACTCAAAATCGATTATGTTTTAGGTTTTAATTCAAAGAAAATACCACTATGGCACTTGCCACCTAATTTTCGCCTCGGATTTTTCCACTAGAAGATTTCTTTTCCATCCAGCTATTTTTCCAGGCTATTTCTTAAGGCTGTTTTCCAA